TAAATAAACAAAAAGTGCAGAGTGATAGCACTGTAGACCCCTGAAAATCCTGTCCAGCTCCTCCAAACTTCTTTCACAGTGCAGGTGAGTAAACCTTTAAATGTATTAGCAGTTAGGACGAGTATGTCAAATCCACATTCTTCAGGAAATAGTTATGTGTTGTATAACTATGTAACAATGCTGACTCTCTTTCCAATGTCATTGTTGAGAGGGGGTTCTGGGAGTAGAAGCACCTCTTTAGCAGAACTGGGAGGAAAATTCATATTCCAGGCATAGTGCAACCAGAAAAGAGCAGAAATGGCTGTACCAACACAAGGCTTTCAAGCAAAAAGACAAAGTACAATGGGTATTATATATATATTAAGGGGTCAATACAGAAAGGAGACATAGCAAGTATAAATATTTACAGACCTAAAACACCATTAGGATATGTGTTGCAAGATGGAAAGGTTTTGAAGACAGTATACTATCAACAAGGGGCTTTAAAATCTTGTCATAGATGTTTCTGTTCTGCCTGATTCTGCCGTCCTTCAGCTCCAAATAAACACAAAGACATATTAATTATAAACTGTTTGGTTGCTGGCTCAGGCTTTTTACTGGCTAGCTCTCTTAATTACTAACCCATAAATATTAATCTATGTATTTCTACATGGCCTTATCTTGCCAGAGAACATCTGGAATGTCCTATCTTCACTGCAGCTACATGGTGTCTCCTTGGCAGTTCCTTATCTGCCCTCATTTCTCCAGAATTCTCCTTGTCTGGTGGCCCTGCCTGTATGTCATTATTCATCAACCAATAAGAGAAACATATATACCGAAGGAAACCCCCCATCATCTTACCAGCACTAATGTATTGAACAGATGGAAAGAAAAGCTAAATTTACCAATAAGAAAAGTTAAACTTATTTCTGTTCTCAGAAATAAAAACCATTGCAGAAAACAGTATGCTGGTTCCTCAAAAAATTGAAAAACAAAATTTTTATATACTCCCCAGTGTATTTGGGTATATCCTCCAAATGACTGAAAGCCTGGACTCAAAGTATATGCATATTCACAATTATAACTGCATTATTCACACTAGCTGAAACCTGGAAGTATCTTAAGCATTCACAGGCAAATAAACAAAGTGTGGTTGATACACACACAGTATATTAGTAGTTAAAAAGGGAATTCTGAGACATATGGGTCACCTGAGGACATCAGGATAATAAAACACACAAGCTGACCAACAGTGTGATTTCATTTGTATGAGATACTTATAAATAGTCAAAATGAGAGACAGAGTCAGCCACCAGATTCAGGGGGGAGAAACAGGAACATACTGTTCCAGGAATAGTTTTACAAGATGAAGTCTGTGGGCATGGTTGGTGGAGACAGCAGCATAGCATTATCAATGTATTAATGTGAACAGCTGTATTAGAGAGCAGGAAACACTAATGCATGGTAGCTTATCCTGCAAGTCCAGCACTAGAAAGGCTGGATTAGGAGAGGTCACAAAATCTAGAACAGCCTGTGCTACATGAATTTCAAGACCAACCTGGATTACAGTAGGAGACTTTGTCTCAAGAAGTCTAAAATATTAGGAAATCAAGTTAAATTTATATTAGGTGTCTTTTCCTTCAGTAAAAGAATTGGAGAAAAAGGAAAAAAGAGGTCTGTAAAAATTCTTGTTTTTAAAATAAAAAGAAAAAAATGTGTGGATGGATGTGCACCACGTGCGGACAATGCCAGAGGTTAGAAGACGCTGGTTCCTCTGGAAGGGGAGTTTTAGAGGGTTGTGAGCCACCATGCAGGACTGGGAATTAAACACGGGTCTTCTCTAAGAGTTTCTGCTCTGACTGAGCCATCTCTCCAGCCTTCCATTGTTATTTCTTTTAGAAACAGTTGGTTTTTTTTGTTGTTGTTGTTGTTTATTCTTTCCATGACAGGGTTTCTCTGTAGCTTTGGAGCGTGTCCTGGAGCTCACTGTAGAACAAGCTGGCCTGGAACAGACAGGGATCTGCCTGTCTCTGCTTCCCGAGTGCTAAAGGAGTGTACCACCACTGCCTGGCTTATAAATAGCTTTTCATGGATGACTGACTAGCTTTGATTCTTGGTCAGTTCTATCTGCAATAACAAAATACTGCAGTATCTGATAATGGAACAGATATTGTTTCTTAACACTGTGGAGGCTGGAAGCAGCCCCATGTCTGCATTCTGGTGAGGGCCTGTTTAGTTTGTTCACAGTCATCTTTTCAATGTTTTTTCATGGTAGGGAGAAGACAGATATTAGCACAGGAACACAGGAGTCTGAGGGAACACAACACAGAAGTCTTTTTATCACTGAATCCCTTATGGGTGCCTAGACAGAACCTCAGGGAACAGCTGGGTTGTGCTGCAGAGAAAATGGAGTCCATATACAAGAAAGCTCGTGGAGGTAACAAATGATATAAGTGAGTCTTAACAATTACAATCTTAGAGGCTCAACTCAGAAGGGTTGTAAGTATCTAGCTTACAGTCTCCTGTGACCTAAAACAGGGTTTAGGAATTGCAATCCTTAAGACAAATTGGATCACTTGACATCTATAGTTGAAACTTATTTTTTTACCCAACATCAAGTTCAAGAGATAAGACAATTGTAGGCCAGTGAAGCCAACTTTAGATGTTTAACATCGGACATAAAACCAAAATTATTTCCTTAATTCTAGTTTCTTAATAAATACCTACACTGGAAGCAAGCTTGTCCTTGGTGCTCACCCCCTCCTCTCTGTGGCTGTGAACGTTTGGCCACTGTTGATCATGTCCTCAGCTCCAGGCCTGAGTTCGCAGCAGCTCCTTTGATTGACAGTGGCCTCCAGACCCCCACCCCTTAGGCTTCTCACAGGTGGGGCTGAGGACTGAAAACTGGGCAGGTGCTGGGAAGGTCTATCTATTTGTTCTATGGTAGATGGTGAATCTTCCCTTTTGACTATGTCTACTCGGTGCTCCATCTAGCCTTCACTCCAGTCTACTGTCACTCCGGCAAACTTGTCTACACAAAGTGAAGGTGACCCTGACAAATGTCTTGGTTGCCTTTTGCTGACAAAAGCTGGAAATCAGAGTTGCCTTGGGCAGGAGAATAAAGCTAGGAACACAAAATTTGAAGATGCTAATCAGTAGGATTTAGACTACGTTTTGGCATACTCCAGCAGCATCTTTCTTACAAGTACAGTCTACTTGGTGGCCTGTTGTGTAGCCATGAAATAGGCTGTAGCTCTATTCAGAGGCAGTTTTATCAGGTTTTCAGTCAGGGGCGCTGTGGGTTGCTGTCACCTGCTGCTGGTTCATAGCCAACCACTCACTGAGTGCCATGATCAGCTTCCCATTCATCACTGCTGGTCCTGGACTTATCCCTGTGCTGCGGATTACCCTAACTTTCCAGGAAACACAACTTACTGATGATACTTGCATTCTGCATCATTGTGATGGCCCTTGTGCAATGCTTTTTCTGAAATCTAACTGTTCACAGCAAGACCGGCAGATGGCAGTAGTGGCTAGTAGAATGCCTCTCCTGCACAAGCTAATACTGCAGACTGCTATGTAGTCTGTATAGCAACTGATGTCTGCCATTCTGCGAATGAATGGATAAATGACTGTTTCCTACACAAACATGAGAATGAAGAGAGACAGAGGAAAGCGATTCTGATGAGCCAGCAGGACTTCTCTGAGTAGCTCAAAGATGTGCTGTATTCCTGGATCATCCTGTTTGAGGGTGCTGGTTCCATCAGTGTCTATGTCAGCATTACAATCCAGAAAATAGGGTGGGGTTTATACAAAGGAAATTACCACCCAAATTTATAACTTATTAAGGAAGAGGAGCAGAAATAAATACTTAATTGGTTGAGGAAAGGAACTCAAGATTCACCTTATAGAATCCAAGTTCAAAGATATGGGGCCCCTTTGGTAGAGAAAGTAAATGTCATGGTTGCTAACTGAATGTTTAAAAGGCCAGCTCATTGTTAAATTACTCTTACTTTAATATTGCTCAACTCTTTTGTCTGCCCTTCTTAGTTCAAAATTTTTGAATAATTATTCCAGATAAAATCAATAGCAAATCACAATATGTGATTTAATGTATACATTCACAAGCAAGTGTGTATACGGATGGTTCCAGGTTCAATTTAAAGGGAGCATATTTATTGGACTGCACAGCTGTATTTTTGTTCTTAAAAAAGTTAATTAAAATCATTTTAATCAAAAGTGCTTTGTTTTGATCCTATTTTAGCTGACTTCCAGGAGACAAAAGAACACAGCAATTGTATTGATTCTTTAAGAAAGCCATGAGCCCTGCCAGTACACGACCACGGTGTCTGTACCCTTAATATAGTAACCATGTTTGGCTGTGCCTCTTACTCATTCCCTCCTGATACTGCAGTCCTTTGCTGTGTTAGAGAAATAGAATGGCATCCCACACCTGCCTGGGCTTAAACTTCATCAATGCTCTGAGTTACATGGCTCGGACCTGAGCCCTTGGCATGGCATGTTTCCTGTGATGGGGAGTTAATAATAGTATGTGTCCTGAAGTCTGGTGTCCACTGTAGTTAAATCTGTAAGTATGTTCACAAAGGTCTTGCTGCCTGACAAACATTCCAAACAGTTTGCTATTGTTAGCACATGTTAATCAAGGGAAAACAAAGTTTATGGACAGGAAAAAACTTGACACTTACCAAAACTACTGTCCTAATCTCATGCCAATTTGTCTCTCCACAGCAGAAATGTCACTGGAGTCCACCTAATCATTAACTTGCTAGCACAGACAATATTTGATAATGTCTTCTATGCATTTCAGTTTTTACTTGAAATGTCATTATATTATGCTGACATGACAATTTTTGATTAAATGTATACAACAGGAGAAACAAAACAAAACAAAAAACAAACAACCCCCCCCAAAACCAGTGATACTACAGCCTGATATTTGAATTAATTTCAAAGGAAATTTGCCTCATCACGTAATCAAAATGAACAATCCACACACTCAATCCACTGCAGTATCTGAATATATTAATACCACACCATTTACCAAAGATATTATAACACAAATTTAGAACACAGGAGTTATTTTCTTTTGTATAACTGTCATTTAAACTTTGATTTTTTTTATAAAACATTAAAACAAGAGTTCTTTATTACAGAAATTAAATGGTATCAACTGCTTTTTGAGTTCAAGGTATATACACTGAAATCAAACAATTAGTATGTGTTTCAATATGGGTCTATACAAAGAGAAGTGACAAATGGGCCCAGTAAAGCAGTACTCATGACTCAGAACTAAACAAAGCTTTAGTTCCTTCTACTGTATTTACATTCTGAAGCTTCTCTGGTCAAGATTCCTGAGCTAACTGGTTAGGGGATATATTTAGCTTTCTAACAAAGGAATTTCTATCTACAATGACCACTTCTAAAGGAATCCACTCCACAATTCTTGACAAAATCTGTTGGTTCCCCTTAATAATGTACAGCAATCTTGTAATGTTGACTCTACGGCAAGTCCAGGAGGAACCCAAGAAATGGAACCATGGATACATTTATCAAAGTAGGATCCTGGCTTTCTTCACCTGAAAATGAACCAAGGAAAGAAAATTCATCAACTATATTTGACTTGGTATCTGGAAAAACACACTTGAGAATGCTAACTCCACCGTTTTCCTCACCTTCTCTTCAGTCATTGACAGGAATTTTGTAGGCCACCATACTGTTCACTTTGTGGATTGTGGTAGTAAATGAGCGTAGACGGACTTCTTCAGAATTGGTAATGAACTGGGGTCCTGATTCCTCCCACTTTTCAGGTACAACCAAATCTTTGTCCGTGTAAATCAGCAGATCAAATGAACCTAAGTTGGGAATGAGATTAAAGCACAGTACTTTTTAAAAGTGAAGCTGTCCTCCCCACCTGTCTCACCGGGACTCATTGAACCGCCCCTCCTAAGGAGATAGCTTAGCTTGCTCTAATTATAATTTTCCTCAAGAAAACCTGAGTTTAGAACAGAGTAGTATACTTTGTAGTAGGAAGTAAAAGTAGTAAGAGAAATTGTGAGAAAACGTACAAGTAGTACTGTACAATATCTTAATTGGTCAGCATTTTCGTTGTTTCCCTTCATTTTCTTGAGTGTGTGTGGGAAGTGTACATGTGGAGGTCCCAAGCTAATGACTGCTCCTCCATTCACTAAGGCAGGGACTCTCAAGCAAATCCAGAGCTTGACAAGATGACTAGCTTTGTTAGCCAGGTTGCTTGCGTGACTCTACTCTGCCTTTCTGGGCTGAATTATAGGTGGGTGCCCAAAACCACCTGGAGGGTTCTGGTGGTAGGGATCCTAACTCAGTCCTCACACTTGCTCAGCAAGTACTTTAACCACTAAGACACCAGTCCTTGTCTTCACATTTTCTAGAACACACATCTGTTATTTGTGCTGCATTCTGCTTCCCATATCCCATTTATATTAAAAGGCAGTGACAAATTAAGAAGTTTAAATAAATGGGAGATTCTCCCAACAGCAGCATACATTTTCCCAATCAAATTTAAGTCAAGAGGTTGCATAATACTTACAAGAAACTTCCAGAAGTGGCAGAAAGGTCACGGTAGCTGTGATTTGCCTGATCACTGAACGGATTTCATCTTGAATGGCTTTGTGAGACTTTTCTCTACAAACACTATAGAAGAACCAAACAATTTACTCTAATTTCATTAGGTTAACTAAAATACACTGGTGACCATTTATCTGAACAAAATGCTCCCAACAGCACAGAAGCAACATATTAGGAGACTAAAGATTAATGGCTAAAGGTATTCTTGGGCTACTGTATCTGCATTTGTCCTTCTCATCATCCTTCAAGGCTGATCTTTGTGTCAGGTCATTCAGTGTATGATGATTAGTAAGTTTCTCAACCATCCCATATAACGATAGTTTCAGTAACTCGGGAAATGAATTCTAACACATACACTTAGTAGAATTTTGGCATTATTTTTTAGTAACACCTCAGTACCTAATTCCTTACTGAATCAAGTAAAATAAATTACACATAAAATTTTTCATAAGCTAAAAATTTGCTACAGACAAAAGAGCTCTTCATTATAGGAACTTACGGAAAAGTGTGCCTAGCATAAGGGCATTTCTGATGTAGAGCGACTGAAATCTTAGTTTACAAAGTTCACGGCATTAGATGAAGTAGAGCTACATCTAAGCTAGGGATGGGTCTAGGCTCATCTCCTGAAGGTAACAGTAGCTTTAAGCACTTGATTAAATGGTCCCCATATTATATTATATCATAGTTTTAGTATAACCAGAAACACAAAGGTAAGATTCACTGGGTTAGCCTAAAAACAGCATGTTAAAAGCATCTTATCTATACAACTACTGACAGGCTAAGAGGAACTCAAAACTTACCACAGATAAAGAATGTAAGAAATCAGTTCAAAACAATTTGAACTCATCATGTGACAGCAGACCTTGAAAAACAAGGTAGGAATAACTTAGTCCTACTTACCCATCTTCTTTTGCAGTTTTGTCACACTCGATATCAAACTGCCATCTTTCAAGGACCTCCCCACTTTCAATATTTGAGATGACCACCACAAGTTTCTGAACGGAGCACTTGTAGAGCCACTCTGCAACACATAGGCGTCTCTTATGCTCTCACTGCAGCGTAACTCTCTTCTAAAAACCCGCCATTTAGCCTTACAACATTCGAACACTGGTATTTCGGACTTCCTTTCATACACAGGGAAAAGTTCCCCACTAATAATTTAGCCAATTTTTAAATTCTTCTCATTACTAATAGGTGAACCAAGGGCATCACAGTGAACCTGTGCTTACTTTCACTGTAACTCCCAGTAAGGGAACAGGGTATAGGTTTTCATCTAACCATTTTCAATACAACTGTTCTGTCACATCTGTGGTGGCTGCTAGGAACAGAGAGATAGTATAAGAGCATAAAAAAAAAAATCTGATCCATTCTGGTAGGTGAAGGAAAGATTAGTTTTTTCATTAACTCTGCAAAGGAGAGGTTTTAAATACTCAAAAGAGAAGAGCATATATAATCTGGCAGGACAATGTAATTACAAAGAAAGGGAGAATATACTATTATGAAAAATCAAGATGCTATATCCTGTAAAATCTTATGTGTAGAGGGCTGGAGAGATGGCTCAGAGGTTAAGAGCACTGGCTGCTCTTCCAGAGGACCTGAGTTCAATTCCCAGCAACCACATGGTGGCTCACAATCATCTATAATGAATATGGTGTCCTCTTCTGGTTTCCAGGTGTTCATGCAGGTAGAACACTGTATACATAATAAATAAATCTTCTAAAAAAAAAAAAAGAATCAGGAAAACCACAACTGTGTTTTAAGAAGAGTGAACAATTAACCTTGTGTTTCCAAACCATCATCCTTGGTAGTAAGTTAGCTGGAGGGTGCAAAAAGGGGGTCTACAGACACTAGGATTCAAAGTTCATAGTATAAATTGGTAGAGAGGGAACAAAGCAATTTCATACTTAAAACTGTTAAGATTTATTCAATTAGCTTTGAATAAGAATCATTTTGAGGTAGTTTTCAGGTTTCTAACTTCATTCCTAGTTGGGCTGTTGACCTAGTCCCTGATGAACAATTCGGGAGATCATTCCACATTTAGTTTTTATCCTGCAGAGTACAAAGCATTTCTAGGACAACCACACAGAGATGTCATGTTGTTTATGAATTTGGAGTAGAGGGTTAGCTTAACCACATAAAATCTGGTAGTAAAGTTGTGAATGGCACAGATAATCTAGCAATTATAAAGAGGACCTCAGATGGAACCCGGAGTTAATACTGGAATTGGGATAGCAACTTAGTATACATCATTTTTCTTTTGTAAGATTAAAGTTGGAGGGAGATGAAACCAACAAGGAGAATTGAAATCATAACAGAGAAACAGAAAATGTAAGAAAAAAGAAGTAAAATGCTTCTAAAAAGGCTAGAGTAAATGGGACTGAAAACAAAGCAAACAAGAGCAATTCCTGTGTTTTAACTAAGTTAGAAGAGGTGAGTGACAACAAAAATGTCGATGAGGTAAAATGTCACCAGTGACAGCCTGTAACCCTAGTGTCAGTTAAGGCTCTATCGAACAGGATGATGATGATGATACCTAGCCATAGCTGTCCAGAGCTCCATGTCAAGTATGAATGACCATACATGATTCTTCCCTGACCCACAATTTGGGAGAATGATGAGAGATGGGCTGCTCCTCTCAGCGTATATGTATCTTGCTTGCTCTTGAGAATAGAAATCTATCTCTACATCTAGCTGTCTCATCTACCAAAGAAGTTCTCAACCAAGAGCAAACTTTATCTACAGGGCTTCCTGTAGCGATATACAGAGGTATGGGATAGTCATAGCCAGGAATGTGTTCATTGACATCTAGTGAGCAGGAGCCAGGATGGTGTCACATTATCTTATGATACACAGGAAAGCTCCCCACTCAACATCCAGATCAAAATGTCAGCAATGTAAGGTAGAGACAACTTGAGAAGAGTAAACCCAACCTTTTCTGCTTGTGAATTCATATTCAACCTGCAAAAGTGTTGATGGATACTCTACTATAGATACGAACAGCAAGGAATGTTTTGGAGTGTGGCCTTAAGCTGGACATAGTGGCAAATGCCTTTAGTTCCACGACTTGGGAGGCTGTTCTCTGTGAGCTTAAGGTTAGCCTGGTCTACATAGCAAGTTTCAGGATAGTCAAGAGCTTTGAGAAACCCTGTCTCAAAAGTAAAACAAAACAAAAAATATATGGCCTTAAAGAGATGTCTATGTTCACTTGGTCACCAAAAGGAGGTCGTTTTAATGCTGAAGTTAACAACAACAACAAAAGTGCAATGAACACTGAATTAAACTACAACAGAAACAAACTAAAACATCTTAAGAAAAAAATTTCTTAGGAGCAGTAGTGCTCTTCCTAAGAATACAAGGCTAAAAACAGAAAGATTATAATTAGAATGGCAATCCTACATTAAGTGCAACATGAGAAACAAGGATTCTAGAAGGAATAAGTATTGGCCAAACAGGCAGCACAATACTGAGCTAGCAATGAATAAATAAACTGTCCAGATATTGAATTAAAGCCTCAACTTTTAAGAAAGGCAAAGAGAATAGTTAAAAAGTAAAAACGGAAAACTTTCCTGTATATTGTTATTTAGTAATACCCTGGTTACAACAACTGCAACATATTAATGTATGTCTCAGAAAAGCAAAACCATTTTGTGTAAAATCATCAATTTGTTGTACCTGTTTAAACCGCAAAATCCATTCCTAAAGCAGCTGATAAGACGCTTCAGACTCCAAGACTCCTAACATCAATACACTGAGTCTACTTAAAAGCAGTGGGAAAACGGATGGGATTTCTCTCCATGACTTTCCCCCTCCCAATCCAGAGGCACTATATTTGAGAAGGCACATTGCTTTATGCCACCCTCATAAATACAACCCGGTTAAGACGTGAAACTCAAAACGGGATTACCTTTCAGCTGCTCCACCACATTATTGAGATACTTAATGAGCTCGGGGTCAGTAGTTACAAGCAGGGTGAGTCCATATTTCTGCACTCGAGTAAAGGTTTCCGATGGATAGATGCCGCGCTGATACAGAATGCTGTTGATGCCAAACGCTGAAAACCAAAGGAATAAATCTATTAAACGCCTGCTCCCGTTTCCACGTCTTCCACAAAGCAGAGCAGACACAACACGACTCGGAAAACCTTTAACCCAGCAGCAACGCCGGGTTTCGCCATATCGCAACCTAAGCATGTGGTGAGAGCATGTCAACACAGAACCCCGGCTTTCAAAGAGCGAATGGCACGATACCCCAGGGAAGCCCCCCTCCGTTCCAGGAGGCCCAGGCCTGCCTGCGCGGTACGGCGCAGCGTTCCCGGCCAGCGAGAGGAACCAGCAGGAGACCGTGCGGCGGTTCCGCCCCAGCGCGCGTCCTCGGTCCCGGCCAGGCCGCTCTCCGGCCGCGGGAGCCGCATTCAAAACTCACAAAAAAATTCGGCCACGATTTCCGCGCTCCCGCGCAGGGTGATGCCTTGCTCCCGGGCCAGCTGCTGCGCCATCACTAGGTCTAACGGAGAACGCTGTCAACCTCACCGCACACCGCGCCCTCACGGCTCAGCGCCCCTCGGCTATTCCCCGCCACCCGGTTCAAAAATAACTACGCAGCCCGCGGGGCGCGCCGTGCGCAAGCGCAACGCGCCCTAAGCCCCGCCTACACCGCCCGTTTCCGGCCCCAGCCCCCGGCCTAGAAACACCTCCTTTCTCCCGAAGCCCGCCCCGTGCTTCCGGTTTCCGCCCTAAGTCCCTCCCACATGACTGAACCCGCTTTGCCCGGCCTCTTCCCAAGAGTCCGTCCTAAAGCGCGGCTTCCGCTGTAAGCCCAGTCCCACGACGGCCGGAGAACTGCCCCTAGGTTCCGCCCAGAGAGCCTTGTGTCCGGCCCTGGCTCCGCCCTCGCCGGCAGACTGCATGCGCAGGCGCAGAGTGGGCCTGGCGCGGAGCTCTCCGGCCTCACGCCCGGGAGGGTCGTTGGTGGGTGGGGCCTCTGGTGTCCTAGAGGAGCCCTAGGAGCCAAGTTCGCCTGCCAAGCCGGGGTCCGAAAATTAACTTAGCCTGCTTTTACGTTCTTTGGTCACATGCTCTTCCTTTTTGCGTTTTTGAAGCCTGTACCATGCCGGGCAATGGTGACGCTCGCCTTTAATCCCAGCACTCGGGAAGCAGAGGCAAGTGGATCTTTGTGAGTTCCACACCAGCCTGGTCTACCAAGAGCGAGTTCCAGGACAGCCTCCAAAGCACAGAGAAACCCTGTCTCGAAAAAAAAAAAAAATGAATAAAGCCTTTGCCAGAGCGTGTCAGATTACATAAGGGATTCACGTTATAGTTTTTATATTGGATAGTATATGGGCAGATTACATAAGGGATTCATGTTATAGTTTTTATATTGGACAGTGTATGGGGTCCAGGAGATGGCACGTCTTCCAAGTGTCCCAAGTGTTTCTAATGCTGGTACACAGACCACACTTTGAAACCAGTCGACTTTATAACATGGATGTTTAAGAAGCTGAGAGGCTGAACTAAATAGTTGCCAGAGAAGTGGAATAAGGGTTACACCAGAGAGAGAAACTGGAGCAAGAGTTGGTGACAGATGAGGAAGAAGAATTAAACTGGCATAGGTAAAGCTGAGGTACCATGCTCTTTACTCCCAAATGGGGGATTTGTCTAATTACCTATCACAGTAACATTTAAGATTCTGGAATCTTTGAAAGTTGATTTCTTTCCTGTTAACTTTTGGGCACCCCTCCCCTTGTCAAAAGCAATACTATAAAATGTTTCTTTGAAACTTCTCAGATTAAGTTTACTTTTCCTCATTCAGTGAACTCTTGCTGTGTATTGTTTAGGGAAAGGATGTTTGAACAGGGGGGAATAAAAGTTGAGCCTTTTTGTCTAAAGCGAATTCAAACAAACAGTCATTCTCTCATTAATAAGACAAATAAATATGGAGATTATGTCATAAGTAGGCCTATATTTTATATTAAGGCATTAAAACAATTATTTGATTTTTTTCTAAATCTAGAAGCACATGAAGACTGAAGAACTCCATTAATGACTTAGTTAAGTAATCTTATAGATAGGAACTAAGATCTAGGGTGGTTATAGAGTTAGTTCAAGAACCAGCACCTAGTTAGTGGCAGATTTATTGCAGAGTTTAAACTGCTTACCTTAGTGTCCTTTTAAAGTATATCTATTTGGAACATGCCGATAGGTTTCTTTATTATTGTGAATGTGTGTGTGAGAGAGAGAGAGAGAGAGAGAGAGAGAGAGAGAGAGAGAGAGAGAGAGAGAGAGAGAGAGAGATGAGAGAGAGAGAGATTCTGGCCAAGACCATAATTTCTTCACAGATTTGCAGTAATAAGCTATAAAAAATTTTGTGTAGATACACAAATATTTACAATTGCCAGAAGAGGGCAGTATTTACCTGTACAATAAAACCTTTGAACCTAGAGCTGAATGCTTGTTAAGAATGAAATGTTGAATAGAAATATAATATGGAACTTACATTCTTTATAGAATTTAATACATATTGAAAATATATGTAAATGTATTCTTGAAACTAAGTAGTTTATTCTAAATCCCACAAAACTGGATATACATGTCATATTTTTGTGTAGTTTTAATCTGTTGATTTTTCTTTAAAACAGTATTTTTATACTGGGATTGCATTATAGAATTGAAGTATTTGGGTTTTTTTTTAGTTCTGTTTTCTTTTTGTCACAAAATTTAGTGTTACTCAATTTCCTTTTTTGTGTTGTTCTTGAAATGGGCTCCCATGTACCCCAGGGGGGCTGAAAACTTTTTATGGAGCCAAGGATGACCAGAACTTCTTCTCTTCCTGATCCCTCAGGCAGACGGCTAGAACCACAGATGTGCGTCAGTCACCATGCCCAATTCATTCAGCGGTGGGAACCGAAGCCGGGACTTTGTACAAGCACTCTTTGAGCTGTATCCTCTCTTTCTTATCACGTAGAATACTGTTCACTTTATGTGAACAAGAATTGTAAAGCACTTATTTCGTGGTCTGATTACCAAGGCTCATCTAATATGTCTAATGAATGCACGCATATTTTACATGGCTTTCATAATTAAATTATAGAGTGTAATTCTCTTAAAGTCCTGGTCCTCATACTTTCCCCCCAAGCATTCTTTGATATAGGACTCAAGTGCCCAAACAAAAACACGTAACAAATTTTATGATGACATTTAACTAATTACCAATACTTTAAGTGTTATTATTGTGTATGCGTATGTCTGAGTGAGGGTTTATGCGTGTGAGCGCAGTGCCTGTGTGGGCCAGAAGAGGGTGGCATATCCCTTGGAGCTGGAGTGATGTGATTCATGGAACTTGGTTCCTGTAGACCAGACTCAGGTCCTCTGGGGGAACAGCAAGTACTGTTCACTGCTGAAACACCTTTCCAGACCCAGCATTGCTTAAAAAAAGCCAACAGACATATTTCGATAATGGTAGAGTTTATATTTTTAATGACATGATTATGCACATGGTAAATTTTAAGTAAAACTTAAGTATGAAATATTATTGAAAACTAATATAAATTCTTACAATAAAATAGGTGGTTTATTATCAGGAAGCATTACCATGTTTTGTTATTTAACTTCATTTGTTACTTATGTGGCATTTATTGCAATGTTATCATGTTGGTGGTAGTTACATTCTACTTTTTAAAATTTATTTTCTGGTAGGAGGGCTTGTGTGCATGTGTGGATATCAGAGGACAATTTGTAGGAGTCAGTTTTCTTCTGCTACATGGATTCTGGGTATGGAACTCAAGCTGTCAGACTTTGTCAGTCTATGTATATTTAATTGCAAGGGAAAAGTAAACACATATACACATATTTGGAATATATTATATAGACTATAGATGTGTATATTTAAAATACAAATGCGATTGACATTTAGAACATCTCAAAAATAGTTTAGATATCAAAACTAACTGCACAGCACTCCTGTTATTACTAGGTAATAAACCACAACCCTTTTTAAATGAGTACAATATACTTATTGTGTTAAATCATTTAATAATTACGTATTGTGGTGGTTTGAATAGGAATAGCCCTCCAAACGCTCATATGCTTGGTCATCAGTGTGGCACTACTTGAGAGGGATTAAGATGTGTGGTCTTTTTGAAGTAGGTGTGCCCTTGTTGGAGGAAGTGTGTCTCTAAGGGTGGCCTTTGGGTTTTCAAAAGGCCAAATCAGCCAGGCCCAGCATCTCTCTCTTCCTGGTGCCTGTGGATTCATGTCTGTCCGTAGGCACCATGCTTTCTACCATGATAACAATGGATTAAACCTCTGAACTGTAAACAATTTCCTTTATAAGGGTTGCCATGGTCCTGGTGTCTCTTATTAGCAATAGAACACTGATATATTTAATGTAGATATTTTATGTTTACAATTTTATCTGTTTATGAATATATCAAATATAGAATTGTTTTGCTACCTGATATGAAAATACAGATGGAGTTATTTTAAACATACTATCTAATTGTTAAGAGAAGCTTTTTCTTTTGCTAGCCGCTTTGGTTTATCCCCCGCCAGTCGCCTGGGCTCTGCCGCGCCAGCCTGGTTCTAGAGCCGCATCAGTCCCAAATAAACACACAGGAGGCTATATTAATTATGAAGCTGTTGGCCTTGCTTGTTTCTAACTGGCTAGCTCTGACTTAAGTAATTACCCCATAATTGTTAATCTAAGTATGTCTCTTACCGGAGAATAGTTCCAGGCTTCCTACCCCAATGGCGGTTACATCTCGAACCCCTCGTGTTTCTCCTACCCAGAGTCCTCCTGGACTCCTAGCCCCACCTATCTAGATTCCTATTGGCCAGCAGTAATTTATTAACATATACACAGGACTTCCCCAACATCTAATAATAGAACTCTATTGTTTAACCAAACAGAAAAATATTTTTGAAAGAGTACTACATCTAAAGTTAGTAGACCATAGATTTGGGTCTTTCTTGAATATTTGTCAATACTAAATATTGTGGAAAGATAATGCTTAAACACAAAATCAGGTTCCTTCAGATTAAAATTTTTTTTCTGGAAGAGTTTTCCTAAGTTTCCTTGTGTTTATAGTTCATTCAAATACCATAGTGGCTATGCTGGTTAGCCTTTGTTTTCAGCTTGGCTGCATATAGATACCTAGGAGACACACTTCTGGGTATGTCTGTGAAGTCATTGCCAGAGAGAATAAACGGAGACCTTCCCTGAATGTGCTGGGGCCCTGGACTGAAGAAAAGGGGGAAAGAAGGAATTTTCCACATATAAATTGAGTATGGCAGTTTTTCTTGTGTATAACCCTTTTAACACCAGCCACCAACAAAAATAAATGCTCGCCGAACCCAGGGTTTTGTTTAAAATTGGAGATCAAGTAGATGGTAATTACCTGATGCCAATATAACTGTCAGGTTAGATGCCATCCCTTTGCTTCCAAATAGATGGCGACTCTCTGTTTTAAGGTATTTTTTAAGTTGAACCAAAATAAGCCTTTCCTAATTCATGTCACTAGCATTCAACATGAAGGAAAAAGTTATCTCCAAAAATATCCTTATAGACTTCAATATAGAAATAGCACATGGTATATAGTATTTGTGTATTAATAATTACCTTTTGACTTGTCTGGTGAATATT